TTATCAGCAACTCTTTCAGCAGAAAAAAAAAAAAAATGGCCTTGTTCGTGATTTGTTCTCAAACGAGTTAAGTTCACACCTGTGAACTCTGGCTTCTTACTAATCTAGTAAGAAGGAGAAATAAACGGTTAGAAGTTCGTTTCTCCTTCTAACTAGATTAGACTTCAAGAGCATAACAATACAGACTCAGGATAACGGAGTATTCACAGTATTCTATGAGGCTGATCTGAACAAGTACTTGCACAAAAAGCAATATTGTTGTAATAGGGATGTGTTTACACAGGAGGCTGTTCCTACTTTTTAGAAACATTTGTTGAAGTGTTTAAGGATAATATATAGTCATGTCTGTAATTGTCTTTTTCTAATCAGAAAAAAAAATAGCTGAAGCAGAAGCATCAAGTTAGTGGTCATGTCTCAGTGCTGGCGTATCTGTCTTTCATCTTCCAGTGAAAATTTTTATCGTGAAAACAAAAAGACCATGTAATCAAGCAAAATGTAATAAAGATTACAGGGTACTGGCTGGGGCAGTAAATACAGAGCGATGATCACTTTTGACTTCTTATTAAAACACCAACAGAGGAGCACACCAAATGAGTAGCAAATTCTCTTCAACCAACTGGCTCTGATACCTTTCACTTGAAACCATCTTATGGGGTAGGCCTGATTTTTCTCACTTTTACATATAAGAACACTAAGACTCAGAGAGTTGAAACAACTTTCAACAATCCTGTGTGGTCCCTCTGCCTTAGGGAGAGCTGTGTAGAGGGACTGAATTGAAACAACAGCAGACTGGCGGGGGGGGGGGGGGGGGGGGATTAAAGCACTAAGGGAATGGTAAACAGACAAGGTGAGCAAGGAGAAAAGCTTCAGGTCTCACGAAGGAGTAAGTATTTCAGCCAAATGCCTGGAGAAGGAGCAGTGAGGGTCCATTACGACAGTCTTATTCCGGGAGGTGCAAGAAGCATCGCAGAATAATCAGTCCCTCCACTGAAAGCCACAAAACAGGAGACAGAGCTGGCAAATTTGAAAACAGAATGCAAGGCATGACAAGGAGGTTGCTTTAGGACTGAACTCAGCTTTGGGGAGCTCGGGCTGCGTGGACCACTCAATTTGAACAGTGATCAGATTTCTGACGCCTCTCCTGCCGCTCAGATTACTCTAACCATGGGAAGGACACAGTTTCCAGTGACTTTATTTAGCGTTTCCAAACTGAATGTAAGAATTTTTTTTCATACTTAACTCCACGTGCATTCATGGTTCAGACTTGAGTTCCGCTGTTTAATTTCAAATAAATTTCTACCTAAGGAAATATGGTTAACTGTCTGCTCTAGTGAAATTCTGCTGGAAAGATTACTACAGCATGCTGATGGCCTGGAGGAGCAAACAGATGAGTTCTAGAAACTCTGAATCAGTTTATTACAGCTTGGCTTTTCCTCGGATTTTTGCATGCAAGTGATTATTTTTTTTTAATGAAAGAATGGAGGTCTAAATATTCCCGGCAATCCAGTGAAATATTTTCAAGAGGCTAAAAGACAACAGTGAGATGTGGGAGTCCTTCCTAGTGCTTGTTTTTATGTCTCCCTCTGATTTCATTAATTAAATAAGCAGGACCCAAGTGTAAGGCAAAAACACAAGCTGTTTACTTCAGCTCTAGCAGGACAGCTGGGTACAGTCATACAGATCACAAGAACCATAGCCCGGTTTCTGCCCTCCAGGATCTCCTGTCAGGAGCCACCAGGGAGCAGCACATGACTAAGTCACTCACCTTGCCTCCTCCAGTGAGACAGTTGCATTGAACTGAATAGGAAAGACCACAGGGAAGGAAACAGGGAAAAGAAACAATAACGGTACCAATATTCACATCCATGTGGCTTTACGATCTTGCCCTTTACTTAGCAAGCTGTGTCTCTTTAGTCCCTTTGGATCAGCGATCCAGGTCCCAAGAGTGGGAGAAGACTTCACCCAAAATCACCGCCCTTGGGCAGAACATGGGATTTGAAGAAAGAAATCCATTAAAATGGTAAATTTTTCATCCCAAGTTACCATTTACACACGCTTCAGCCAGGCAGATGTTACATGACCTCGAATTGACCTTGTTCCCTCATCCGTAAATTGGAGCTGAGAACAGCATCCTTCTGAAAGGTTGTCATGGGAATCAAATGACAGAGTACATGCCAACTAGTATGGACACTTTGGCTCATAATATTCAATAACACTATCACAACATTTGTAAAGTGTCATATGCTTTAGACAAAGTATAGAAAATTCCATTACATTTCAAGTATCAGGCAATGCTAAATTCTCTATGTATAAGCAAAAAAAATTTTTTTAGGATGGCAGCCTATCCCTTAACTCACAGAAGACTGGATTTCTAAACAGAAACGAGCTGACACATTGAATATAAAGAGGTATTTTAAACAACAAAGCTAATCAAAAGAATTTAACTCAACCTGGCAATGGTAGAGAAGGCACTGTTTTCTATACAATCTCACTTAAGGGGCAGGAATGATGGAAAAAAGAAAGGAAGAGATAAAGGAACAAAAATAATCTCCTGGAAAACACATACGCTATAAGAAGGCCGCTTGTTTGTTTCCCGGCTGCCCAGCAGCTCAGACCTGAAATGATCACACAGAAACTATATTATTTAAATCACTACTTAGCCCATTAGCTCTAGCTTCTTAATGGCTAACTCTTACATCTTAATTAACCCATCTCCATTAATCTGTGCATCACCACGAGGTCGTGGTCCACCAGCAAAGTTTCAGCACGTCTGTCTCTGGCTTCTCCCTGACTCTGCCCTTCTTTTTGAGCATTTGGTTTCGTTTTCCCCACCTAGCTCTGTTCTACCCTACCAGGCAAAGCCAGTTTCTTTATTAATTAACCAAACACATTCACAGCATACAGAGGGGAAATCCCCCATCACACATACATGCACACAAATAAAAAATTCTTTATCCATTCTATCACTGAGTAAAACAATACTCAGAAATATAAAGGGGTTTCCAGGAGGTGGAATTCCTCAACTAGTAGTGAGTGGCAAACCCAAGTCTCAACAAATCTACCTCAAAGATACATTCAATACGAATCAAGTCATTGGGATACTAATATAATTCCTACTATCTTTCTTGTTTAGAAGGTAATCCTAATTGTCAAATTATTTTCCTTGTAACTTCACTTTTCTCTCTGAAAACTTTGACAAAGTGCCAACTTTCCTAAACTCCACCATCTGCTAGAAGTCACAAATGACTACAATGGATGTGCCAAGTTTACATTAGGAGGGCAGAAATAGACATGGGAGAGTCCTCACTGGAATACGCAGAAGTTCTATGATCATTCAAAGTACCTACCGACACAGGATCTTAATGGGGGGTGTCTTGTTTTTTGTTTTTGTTTTTACTTATGAAATAGAGCAAAAATAGTTTCTATCTCCTGAAATTGTGACAATTCCATGTCAAAATCGACTGCACAACACATATTAACCTCGCTAAATAAACATCCACTGGAAAACGCACTCCAGTCTACCTTAACTCCTCCAGTCTGACCAGAGATCTTCTAAGCATCGCCGTAAAAGCCAGCTTCAGAAGGATCCTGTAGATACTCTTGTAAAAGAGCCAGATGCTTGGATAACTTCACAGCCTGGAATCTAATTTTCCCATCATTCCTCAAGCTTCCGCGGTCCTGAGATGGCCGTGGTGATAATGTGGGTATCTAGTCACAACATAGCATGTGTTTTCTCTTTATTTCCAAAGCACATTCACATTCTTACCTTGTTGATTCTAAAACAACTGTCAAGTCAGGGAGGGAAGGGAATATCCCACAAGAAGGAAGTGGGAACACAGAATGTAGGAGAGAATAACGTTAGCCGCTATCATTACATACCAGTTGTGCCCCAAGCTTCTGTGTATATTAGCCTGTGTAAACTTCTTAGGAGTCCATTCAAGTAGGTGTTACTATTTCATTTTCAGGAAAAAAAAATGCGAGCCTCAGGAAAGAAGGCCATATGTTCACATTCCTCTAGATATGTAGTGCAGGGGCTGGGACTCAAGTCTGCACCTGTCTTCCTCCAAAATCAAAAATCTCTATCACTGACTTATCAAAGAATTTCTCAAACTACTAGCCCCTAACACCATATTATAATCGACAACTTCTAACTCATAGTCCAAGATGCCTCTCCACCTCCACCTCTCATTAAGCCTTTCCTTCAGCCAGTTAGAATGGTTCAAGGTGCTGACACTACACTCATCTGGAGCTTAGAGTCACCACCACATACAGCTGCTTGTCAGCTCACTACTACCCCTAGGCTCCTATTCTTAGCTTTCCAGTCCATGTCTCAAATGTAAGGTTCCTCTAATGCTGGTAGGAGAAAAGTAAAAGGATAAAATAGACTGCACCCTTCTCTTTTATCAATTTATTAATTAATTAATTTGACAACTTCATAGGTAGATTACATGATGACTCCTCTAATATCCTACCATCTCTTAACTCCCTCCCACCCCATCTACCTCTCTTCTTCCACAAAAAAAAAACAAAACCTATTTCTTATATCCATATCTATTTCTTGTGTTCTGTGACCCACTGAGTCTAACCAATGCCTTCCATAGAGGCATGATTTGGAACTCTCTTCTAGGTGACCATGAGTTTGGGACTCTCTATTAAAGTCTTGTGGGATCAACAATGGGTTCAAAGGCAAAGAAAATGAGCCACTCCCAGCAACTACCAATAGCCAAGAGTTCAGCAATTAGGGACAGGGACCCATGAGCCCTTCTCCCATCCTTGACAAATTGCGACAGTTGGTCTTGTGAGCTCTCAGTGCAGGAAACTGCAGCGACACCGATGATTGCAGCGGAAGTCCGTTTTTGCAGTTGTGCAACCCCTGGGGCCTAAGTATATCCTCACATCCAAGCTGCAATGGCATTTGAGCATCATCTCCTTCTGTGGAGACAATGTGCTTAGTCCTTATTTAAGATGATCTACAATTCTCTCTTGTCTTGTTTTAAAAGGAAAAGATGGTGAAAAAGGAGACACAGGAGAAGAAGGCAAGGATGGCAAAATGGGACGCAGGGGACCAAAAGGTAGGCCAACCTGTCTGAAATGGCCATTCTAATGTGCAAACATTCATTCTCCCCTGTCCCTTGTCTTGGAAATTAGCAGTTTCACAGTGCTCTCTGGCCTATATATATATATATAGTGCTTCAGATGTGAGTTCCAAGACCAGCCCACGCACCTATGAGCTTGCCTGATGGCTAGACTTTGTCATATTTCTCAAGCCATATCATTAAGGCTGGTCTGAGCAGTTCAGACTCTGTGGTTTAGAGAGTAGCAGTCCTGGGAAAAGATAGGATGGTGAGTTATTAGAAACTTAGCTGTGTTTGTAGAAAAAGCTGCTTGGTCCTTTGAAGTGCTCATCTTTTCCCAATCTCTGTATTTCTTTGCTTCTATTTCCTTATAACAAAAAAAGAAAAAAAAACAAAACAAACAAACAAAAACAATGTAATCAGGCAGTAGAGGGTTCTGGAGGGAGTGGAAGCAAAGCAGACAAGTGTAACACAAAAGCTATTTGGATGTTCTTACGAATAAAACTAAAAGTAAACATTACCAAAGCTAAATAAAGAAAAGGCTCCTGGGCCGCCGCCATGTATTGTCTAAACACCTGAATTGCTCCACCCCTCACCAAACGGTTCCCATGGGTCGCACATTTTAAATTTTTGAATAATTTAAAGAGCTGAAAAGACCCTGAAGCCCTTAGACCCTCAATCTGAGAAAGACTGACTTAAGTCTTATGTCAGTTGCTATGTTATTATCAAAAAACCAATTTGTAAATAGTAAATGGTTTTATATTATCATTTTTTCTTACTTATTAGTTCGTGAGGGTTTTGTTTTGTTTTACTTTTTTTTTTTTTTTTTTAATGAGAGGTCTCACTGTGAAGCCTTGACTGGTTTGAAATCTGCTGTGTTGACCAGGCTGGCATTTAACTCATAGAGATCTGTCTGCCTCTGTCTTCTGAGTACTGGCATTAAATGTGTGTGCCACCATACCCATTTTTAAACCATATTTTCTTTTTTTTTCCATTTTTTTTATTGAGAAAAGGAGAAAAAAAAAAACAAGTTTCCACCTCCTCCCAGCCTCCCATTTCCCTCCCCCTCCTCCCACCCTTCTCCCCCTCCTCCCACCCTTCTCCCCCTCCCCCCACTCCTCTCCCCCTCCCTCTCCAGTCCAAAGAGCAGTCAGGGTTCCCTGCCCTGTGGTAAGTCCTAGGTCCTCCCCTCTCCATCCATTTCTAGGAAGGTGAACATCCAAACTGGCTAGGCTCCCACAAAGCCAGCACATTATGTAGGTTCAAAACCCCGTGCCATTGTCCTTGGCTTCTCATCAGCCCTCATTGTTCGCCATGCTCAGAGAGTCCAGTTTTATCCCATGCTTTTTCAGTCACAGTCCAGCTGGCCTTGGTGAGCTCCCAATAGATCAGCTCCACTGTCTCAGTGGGTGGGTGCACCCCTCGTGGTCCCGACTTCTTTGCTCATGTTCTCTCCTTCTGCTCCTCATTTGGACCTTGGGAGCTCAGTCCAGTGCTCCAGTGTGGGTCTCTGTCTCTATCTCCATCCATCACCAGATGAAGGTTCTATGATGATATGCAAGATATTCGTCAGTATTGCTATAGGATAGGGTCATTTCAGGTTCCCTATCCTCAGCTGCCCAAGAAACTGACTGGGGACCTTGGCTTGGGCATCTGGGAGCCACTCTAGGTTCAAGTCTCTTGCCAACTCTAAGGTGGCTCCCTTAACTAAGAATTGTGCTTCCGTGCTCCCCTATCCAACCTTCCTTTATCCCAATCCTCCTTTTTCCCCAAGTTCCCCCCATTCTCCCCTTCTCCCCCCTCTCTCCCCATCTCCCCTTACCCCCATCCCACCCCATCCCCAAGATCTCAATTTTCTCTCCGGCCATTTTGTCTACTTCCCATAGCCAAGAGGACAACTATATGTTTTTCCTTTGGTTCACCTTCTTACTTAGCTTCTTTGGGATCACCAATTGTAGACTCCGTGACCCTTGTTTATGGCTAGAAACCAATTATGAGTGAGTACATCCCATGTTCATCTTTTTGGGTCTGGGTTACCTCACTCAGGATAGGGTTTTCTATTTCCATCCATTTGCATGCAAAATTTGAGAAGTCATTGTTTTTTACCGCAGCGTAGTACTCTAGTGTGTATATATTCCATACTTTCTTCATCCATTCTTCCATTGAAGGGCATCTAGGTTGTTTCCAGGTTCTGGCTATTACAAATAATACTGCTATGAACATAGTTGAACAAATGCTTTTGTCATATGATAGGGCATTTCTTGGGTATATTCCCAAGAGTGGTATTGCTGGGTCCAGGGGTAGGTTGATCCCGAATTTCCTAAGAAACCGAAACACTGACTTCCATAGTGGTTGCACAAGATTGCATTCCCACCAGCAATGGATGAGGGTACCCCTTCCTCCACAACCTCTCCAGCAAAGGTTATCGTTGGTGTTTTTGACTTTAGCCATTCTCACAGGTGTAAGATGATATCTCAAAGTTGTTTTGATTTGCATTTCCCTGATTGCTAAGGAAGTTGAGCATGACCTTAAGTGTCTTTTGGCCATTTGAACTTCTTCTGTTGAGAATTCTCTGTTCAGATCAGTGCCCCATTTTTTAATTGGGTTAATTAGCATTTTAAAGTCTAGTTTCTTGAGTTCTCTATATATTTTGGAGATCAGACCTTTGTCTGTTGCGGGGTTGGTGAAGATCTTCTCCCAGTCAGTAGGTTGCCTTTGTGTCTTAGTGACAGTGTCCTTTGCTTTGCTATGAACATAGTTGAACAAATGCTCTTGTCATATGATCGGGCATCTCTTGGGTATATTCCCAGGAGTGGTATTGCTGGGTCCAGGGGTAGGTTGATCCCGAATTTCCTGAGAAACCGAAACACCGATTTCCAAAGTGGTTGCACAAGATTGCATTCCCACCAGCAATGGATGAGGGTACCCCTTCCTCCACAGCCTCTCCAGCAAAGGCTATCATTGGAGTTTTTTATTTTAGCCATTCTGACAGGTGTAAGATGATATCTCAAAGTTGTTTTGATTTGCATTTCCCTGATCGCTAAGGAGGTTGAGCATGACCTCAAGTGTCTTTTGGCCATATTTTCATTACTTTCATTTTCTAAGGCAAGAAATGACTTTAGAATATTGTAGGGGTCTCTGATGATAAGTCTTAGGATTACAAGATCAGCAGTAAAGAGAGCTGTGGTTTATCACATCTGCAGTCCCAGCATCCATGAGGCTTGAGACGGAACTGCTGTATTTGAGGTCAGACTGGCACTCATGGGGAACTCCAAGACCATCTGGGCTACAGGGCGAGATGCTGTCTCAAAAGACAAAAACCAGCAACAGAACTTCAGCAAGACAATTTCAGGGATCTCATTCATCACCAGATTTTATGGCTCCACATTCTCTTTCCTCTTCTGAAGTAGCTAAAACTGTCAAATCTTGTTTGAAAGCAGAGAGAGAGAGAAATCAATCCTAGAGCAAAGCCAGAAATGTACCTAGAAGTGAACACATCTAAAACAAACCCCGCTGCTTACCTACCCTTTATTTTACGACCCCTCCTGCTATGGGCATTTGAGAAGATTGCTGGAGTAAATATTTTAATACCAACAAACTCGGGATTTTCAGAATCCCTAACATTTCAATTAAAAGATACCATCTAAGTCTGTTTAAATATAACACACATAGCGCAGGATACAATTTAGTGTCTTGCTTTCACTTCCTGGTACTGTGATTGAATACTCTGAAGGGAAAGAGCAACTTGAAGGGGGAAGAGCTTTGGGTGCGGTGTTACAGTCCATCCTAGACAGGAAGCGACAGCAGCTGATGTTTGGGGGGAGGGGTCCTTACACATTGCAACCATAGTCAGGAGCAGAAAGCAAAGAGTGCTAGTGTGTGTATGCCTGGCTCCTTCTTTTCCTTATGTGTGTTTATAGTTTAAGACCCAAACCCAGGAAATACTGCCACCCACAATGAATGAATGGGTCTTCCCAACTCAGTGAACAGAGCCAAGACAACCCCACACAGATATGCCCACAGGTCAGCCTAGGTGTTGAGAAGACTAACCACCACTATGAGGTATCTTAGGTAGAATATAAATATACATATATATATATATATATATATATATATATATATATTGCTGTTTTCTTGAATTAAATATCATATTAGTCACATCCTTAAAGGAAAGGCCTCATGCTCTAAGAATGAATTGCTTTCCTTTTCAGGAGTTAAAGGAGATCTGGGTGATATGGGACCCCAGGGCAATATTGGCAAGTCTGGCCCCATTGGCAAGAAAGGTAAGGCCATGCTACTTTTCAGTGCAAATTAAAGCAAGGGAGCACACGGTGAGCACATTTTAAACATTTTATGTCATGACAATGGTGGCTTTTCTTTCTTTTAAGCAGCGTCTGTTCTGTCTCCCCAACTTGAGTCCTGTATAAGTAAACTCTCATAGCTCAGACAGAAATATATGAAGCAAAATTAAACAAGACTTCAAAACAGAATCAAGCATGAACTTCCGGTAGGCTCTGTATTGAACTCTCTCCCTGGATCTATTGTTAGCTATGAACTCTTGCTAAGGCCCAAGGATACCATGGTTTAAATACTGTCATGATTTTTCCCAAAACACAGTGTATAAATGAGTATAAAGGAGAGAAGTGAATAATACTGTCTCCATAATCTATTAGCAAGATAGGAAACGGAAGTATATACAAAAATGCGCACCTCTTCGGACATATTCTGCTCTAAGTGCAGCCTCAATATTAGAAAAGAGATAGTGGCTTTTTATTACCTAATCTCTCCTTCCCTGCACTCTTCTCATAAATCCTCACAATGGGAACAAGTCCCAGTTGTTCTTTTGTTCAGTAACTCATATGCAGGCATTGTTCCACTTGCTTGGGAATACAAAGCTGAAGGAGAATCAACATGCATTGCCAGCAGGTCGGAGATCGTTCAGAAAGATAAGATTGTCTCAAGAAGAATTCTAATCTTGAACAGCATGCACACTAGAGTCTCCAAATGAGAAAAGAAAACAAGATGGAGGTGGGGAGAAGCTGAAATGGGTCTTAAGGAATGGCCACATGTTTATATGCACCGGGAAAAGACATTTGAGAGAAAATGGAAGAAATAATTCTACAAAGGCTCGGATCGGAAGAAGCTCAGTGCCATGAATATTATGACAATGCATCCCCTATGTGTTCCCCATCATTCATAAACACTTGAGCCCTTGAAGAATTTAGCAAGTGCCTCATTGTGCTCAGCACTGGATTCTTCAAGGCAGGTTGCCCAAGTGGCATCTGAGCTGAGGCTGTGGCCTTTGGTCTCACCTGGAGGCTCTGTACTTCTTCTTGTCTCTCTCACCTCAGTTTTCCACACTTGATTCCTTAAGGAGCTTCCTTCAGCTGCCTTTGAAGACATGGACGGGAGTGTCTCTTATACATTCACCACTGGCTGGCATCCTCACAGCTGGAGAAAGCTACCTTAGTTCCATGGTTTTATCAAAAACTGAGAGGTGTTGGCTTCAGAACTCTTCATTTGAGCAGGCCCGTCCCCAAACCTTGAGGGGAGGCCTAGCATAGGTTTACATGACCATATGTCTTGGCAAAAATAAATAAATAAAAAAATTGTAAATTAAGACATTTTATCTGTCAGACATATCTGAAATAGTGATACCCTATTTTTAAAATTTTCAAATGAATGCCTCTCCAATAAGTATATCCTATATAAATATGTACATTCCTTGTTTATATTTATATAAATATATGCATATTTATATATAAAATATAAATGGGTTTACATATTATGTATTTATATATAAAATATTTAATAATATCATATGTGTGTGAATTATATATACATATATATTTGCTTTTTTTCAACCCCTAAGGCATTTGCATTCCTGAAGTGATTGATATGTTATCACTGACAGAGCACAGGTTGAGACTGCTGTCTCCAGCTCTAATTTTCCTCTATCTAATTTCCTTCTTGTATTGGATGGTTTGGGAGTGGACACAAGTATTCAGGGAGTGAACTAAGTCTTAAATGAAGAAAAACATTTAGTTTGGACCTAAGGTCATACGTTTATGTAGTTTGAAGTTACTTCCATAATCAGCTAAGTTATTACTAACAAGTACAATGTAGGGATGGCCTCCAAGAATACTCCAGCCCCCTACTGCGCAGGCCAATATGAGTCATGAAACAAAAGTACTGACTGTGCCCAGGGACATCCAGCACAAGAAATGTGGAGACACAGACTAGGAAAAAAAAAAATGTTTGACAGACATAGGGGCAGAGATATTTGGGAGTATTCCAAACCAGACATCTCAGGTACACAAGACAAAGGATTTACCCGATTGTGTTCTCAAACTTGCTGATAATCTGAACATGCTTATCTTGGCAATAACAAGTTGCAAGGATGGAAGCACACTAATATAATTAATAATGAAGCAAAAATCCTGGGCAAGACTTTACAGCCTGCATCAGGTTACATTCTGAAAATTATAACTGACTAGATTTAAAAAATAAACAGACACACATTTGAAGGTGAGAAAAAAAATGCCCAAATTAATAGGAGCATGACAGCCATGCTCTAGAGCAGAAGGGGTCCCACTAAAGTTAAGTTGAGCATCCTGTACGACTTTCTTCCTAGGGTATTTTCCAGGGGAAAGAAGTGCCAAGAATCTGATGTGTAAATAGAGAGTTGCTCAGAATCGGTTGTTTCGTAAGGATTGCTAAAGAATGGAAGGAAGTCCAGGAAAATGTTCCATATTTTTAATTAAAACTCCAGAAAATCTGAAAAACATTTAATTAGACATTTACCAATTTGTGCTTTTTTAACATAGCAAACCAAGAATATAAGAAAATACTTTGGTCAAAAAGACAATATCAATAAGAAAAAATTATTTAAAAATGTTCAATAATAAAAAAAAATGAAAATGTCTCTCTTGAGATTGGTAGCAAGATTAGTATAGGCCCCCATCATCAACTCTGACCAACATTTCTCTTGAGCTTCTAGCAAGAGTACAAAGTCAAGAAAAAGAGCCAGGAAACACATGAGGAGAACACAGACTAAGATTCACTCTATGTAGATGATTTATTGCATAACCAGAAAATTTTAATAAGCTGAAGATAAGTTATTTGTATAGATAAGATTTTTAGAAAGACAAATAAAAATCAATTTAATTTCTGTATGATAAATGATGAAATTAAAATAATACCATTTATCATAGTATCAAAGTTATTGTGTACTTAGGAATAAATCTAGTAAAACTTATATAAACTCTTCATAGCAAACACAATGCAATGGTAATGAAATTAAAGGTTACCTGAGGAAATGGAAGCAAAATCACAGATTACAAAACTCTATATTGTTTATATGTTAGTGTCTGGAGATATGATATTTGTATTCAATAGCTTTTTGATCAAAATCTTAGAAATATTCTTTTGAAAACCAGTAAACCAATGCAAAATATATGCATAAATGAAAAGTATTAAGAATATTCAAGACAGTCTTATAATAAAAAAAGTGTTTGAAGACACAAATCACTAAATTAAAATACTTACTGGAAAATTATAGTGTTGATATAATATTAAAATAAAGAAACCAATGGAAATGAATAGAATCCAAAAACATCCAAATGGTTTATGCAAGGTTGATACAGATTTTCAATGGAAAACCTGCAACCTAACACTAAATAGTACTGGGTTAGTTGGATATTTATGTTTTAAAAGTAATAATTGAGCCTCTGAGTTGGCTCGTGTGAAAAGGCGCTTGCTGTTTTGCATAAATATACAGTACAAATGGTGGAATTATGTCTAGAGTCATTTCAGGAATTGTTGAGAAGTTTGCCCAAATTCCAAGCCAAACTTCACTTAATGATATTTTGTGAAACTCAAGTCAACAATTCAAACAGTAATTTTAAATATCAAACCTTCTAACACTATACAAGCAAAAGCAATACTAAGTTAATATTTTGTTGCTAAGGAATGACAATAGGAAAATGTGCTCTTTGTTTTCCACACCTGAAACATTATGTTTATATAACTTTTTATATACAATAAAAACACTGAAACCCATAACTTGCAGTCCTTTTGAGTCTGAAGCAAGGTATTTCAGAATATGACAACACACTGTGCAGAGTGTACCTACTGTGTGCTCAGAATCAAGGCTGCAGTGACGTCACGGGGTGCAATATGGGTAAGCACGGCCACAAACACATCAGATTCTTTATATGACAGAAGTAGCTTTTGCTCTTGGCATTTTCGGAAACCTTTTTCTCTTGTCACGTTTTGTACGACACCTACATTTGCTCATGTAACCCCAAATGTGTTCACCACCCACGATTTAAGAAACCCAGCTGTAAACGACAGCGAGAAAAAAAAAAGTGACGGATCTTCAGTATGACTACGCCCCAAAGAGGATGGACTTCCAGAAATGTTTGATGATCAAGTTCGGAAATGATGTGCTAATGAAGCTTTCCTTCAGACCAATTCCCCTTCACCCTCCGGTCTGCAGTGTTCAGCGTGCACCTCCATCATTGCACTCACTCCCAGGCCACATCTTCTTATTCGCCCCCGAGAATTGCTTTTTGGGACTAAAACATGAATACTTACTGGGTCTTTTGACTCGAAGCATATAGACAAGATACTGGAAAGACAACATGATAGTTAATGCCACTTGCTGGAGAAGCCCAGGACCAGGGATCAAATCCTAAAGTCCAATTTTCAAAGACGGTGTCATGACGAGAAGAGAAAGTGGAAACAGGAGGATTACTGGGGCTTGCTGGTCACCGTAAGGCTCCAGGACTAGTGAGGAATTCCCAGTCTAAAAGGAAGAACACAGCAAAGAATGATAGAACAGGACACACAATGTCCTTTTCTGGCTTCTGAAAGCACACACATCTACACAGTACACAGACATGTACACCCACACAAACAGGTATACGTGCACCATACTCACACACATAAATACACATACACCCACAAAGTTTCTCTGTGTGTGTACATCTGTAAATCAACTGAGGACTAGAATTTTACATTTATGTCTACAACATAGTAAAAACTTTCTAGTAATTTGTTTTATAAAAAATACAGAAAACTGGGCTCTGTGGATGTAGCTCAAAGATAGCAAGCTTGCCTAGTAAACACAAAGTCTGGGTTTCAGACCCAGAAATACACACTTTTACCCACACTTAGGTATTCACAGGTATACATAGAAATGGGTAAAAACCATTAGAATGATACAACATTTGATTTCCAACAGGGTAGCCTTATTTTTCTACTCTTTATTCCCTTAAGTACCACTTTTCTACACAAGCAGTTCCACCATTGACTGCTGAGATTTTCTTTCCCTATAGAGACGTGCCATCAAAATTTATGAGCAAGTCTTAAGAAAAATGGAGACACAGTGTTTTGGCTCACCTGGGTTAATTTCATTTTCAATCAGCACTTGGAAATGTATTATCCTCATTTGGCCATGGCCCTGCGACGTTTTTCATTGACTTGGATTAATGTCAACTTTCTTTCTAGGCTGACCTTAATGCTGTCACCTGCATGGTTAAGGTAGCTTTCCAGATGTCAATATTTCATTTTCGGAATAAGAAATAAGAATGATTTAGTGTAGGTAAATCCAATCTCATGGCAAAATAAATGTTTTTACTTAAGACCAATAATCCTTTCCCACTGAAAGCATTCTGATTTCTTTTGTTCCTCCGAATGTGACCTCCAATTCTTTACTCAAGACACTTGTTATAGACATATTCCCATTCACAGGCCCAAATGAAGTTTTGTGGGTGACTTGAAATCACAATTAGTTTTGGAAAGATAGATTCTAAACCCAAATCCTCTGTAAGCGAGCTAAGGACACAGCTTGCAGCATTTTGCTGACCTGTGGCTTAGGTTGGCTCAGCATCCTCTGAATGGAAGCTAGTGTGGATTCCATTATAAAATGGGATGGCTTCATTTACTCCCCTAATGACTTCATCTTATTAGGTACCACTATTCCTGTTTAGGAGATGAAGAAATGTAGACTTAAGGAAATTCAAGAGCCTTGGACTTCCAGTGCTTTGTCTCTCAATTTGTCACAAAAGGAAAGGACTTCATGTCGAAACACCAAAGAAGCAGTCACAGGGCTACAGTTTCCTCAAAGAAAAGACACCTATTCACTTAGGAAGCCATTTCCACATGACGATCAGGCCAGATGGGTGCTTCCACACTGTCTTTACTGCTGCAATCCACAGAGGTATTTCCTGTTCTGACCACCTACTAGGCTTATTTGGTTTATTTTGAAATGTTAGTACATCACAGTGCGTGTCTTTTTGTTCTCTGTTCTGTTTTTATTTCCTTAAAAGCCCATCACTCTTCATCCTGACAGAAACAGCCAAGATTTGCAATGGACACTGAAGCTGCAAATAATAACTCAGAACCTTTATTTACTATGAATTTGTTCCCAACTCATACATTCTTACGATGGAATTTAATATATAAATCACGTAAAATAATAAGAGATTAGCAACAGTAATTTAATTGGGAAAGATGGTTGCAATATTTTATGAGAAAGTTTGTGTGAATGTCGGCTCTATTTTTTTCTCAAAATATCTTAAATTTATCTCAAATGATTTTTATCTAAAAAATATCGCACTGGAAGGGGGTCCTTTTTGTGGGAATATAAGAAGATGTGTTGCCACACATGAGCTAAGAGAGACAAATACACAGGCATTGTAACAAAGGATCATAATGCTTAAATAAGCATCATTCAAAAATATTTTAATGTGGCATTCCATCTGATTACTGAGGTAACAATTAGCTAATGTTTGGGTGGTATATACAGAGTGGATATAATGTAACTGCAAGATTCATTCTGGAAAATAAAATGAGATTATTTTATGCTACTCAGAATGGTGTATAATTTAAAACTCATGAATTGTTTATTTCTGGAGTTTCCATTTAATAATTTGGGGCTTTGATTGATCTCGGGGGACTATGGAAATCAAAACAGCCAGTTAGAGGAGATTGTTGTTCTCTGTATTTATTTTATGTCTGCTATAAGACTTACTCAGGAGAGGCACTATAACAGAATTAGAATCCACGTTTAATCCATATCAATTTGAAAGAGATTTAAGTGCAAACAAAGTATTAATTGTAAGACATTGAAGTATTAAATGCACATTTTTAGAAGTATTGTGCTAACTGATATACCTTTGAATTTCATAAATACATATTCATGATCTTTTAACTGAATATTTTTATGACAAAGACTGCTATTGTCTTTCAGAAATTTTTCTTGTTTTATTTTTACCTGCCATTATACAGAATTAAGGGGTGTGATGTGATACTTTGATACATATGCACATAACATGTCTGTCACCTCCAACACTTACTGTTTCTTTTGTGGTGAAACAGTCAAGATCTCCTCTAGCCATTTGGAAGGAGAGAACACATTACTAACAACAATCAGCTGGTCGTGCAACAGAACACCAGTGCTTGTTCCTACTAATGCTAACTTCATCCTCCTGGACCAGCCTTTCCCCAACTTCTCCTTGATCCTACCCTCTCCATCAGCTGCTAATCACTATCCCACTGTCTACATCTACAAGCCTGATTTTTTTCAGTCTCTTATTATAAGTGAGATCATGACAAGCCTGACTTCAGTTTCTTCTATAAGTGAGATCACGGGGTCTTTTTCTTTCAGTACCTCGCCTCCTTCTCTTTGATAACATTTTCACTTTCCTATATCAAAACATGGGCCAACTTACCTGTGAGGCGTTATGAACTGGGGAGTCAGAAATAGTTGGATTGGGATATCAGCAAAGCCATTCAAACCGCTGAGCATTTCACTTGGCTCCATGAACCCCAGTTCCTTCAGCTGTAAAACAGAGGCAATCAGTACACCCACCTTGTGGGATTTAATATAATACCAACGAAGTATGCAGAATCGTGGGCAACTTATTTATGTTTAGTAAATGCGTGCTCCCATTCTTCTGCTAACATAGTCTCTTCTCTAAGTGATTTTCGAGGAAATAATAGAATCTTTAGAAAACAGCTAAGATGTGAGCAGTTGATATCTTTTCACACCGGTTTCTCACACGCTCTTTGTTGCCCAAGCTCTTTTATCTACAGCTGCTGAAGCTACTGATAGCCAGGCTTACACGCACAGGACTCCATCTTTCCTACTCCTACTGTCCTATCTGTTCTCACTCCCTCTTAACTATGTTATCTTTGTTTGAGGTATCTCTCTCAGACTTACCATGCTATGTGATCACAGAGTTCAGCACCATCCACATCAGGTTCTGAGACTTCTGCTTTCACACTTAAGCAGCACTCAGGAGGTCAAGATCCTCTTTCTTTCTGTTAGGCAAGCACCCCGATGTCTGATATCACTGTGAAGAACATGTCTGCACAGATCAGTTTAGAAAGGCTTGGAAAAACCGTGGGATCCTAATGTACGTACTTTCTTCAACATATAAGAAGCTCTTAGTGAGAAGCATCCAACAGCCTGTGGTGAGAATAATGGGTGACACCCTGGGAGCAAGTGACATAAGGGACCCTGTGAGCTTTAGAGTGGCCTTGTGAAGGATGACATCAAGCAGAATGTCATTGTCTTTTACGTTGCTCTATTGGATCGTACACCCAGCCTCCTGCCTTCCCTTACTTCTTATCCATGTAGGACTTCTACTCCTACTCCTTGAGCCTGGGTGACCTTCAGCCTGTGTTTATCCTTCATAATTTTTTTTTCTTATACGGCCAGATCACCACTGAAGCATGAAACTTTATTTCACTCCTCTCAATGTCTTCTCTTTTGATCCTCAAGAACCTCAGCCAAACATTTTCTCTCGTAAATCAAAAGCTTTTTCCTGTCAATTACAGCGTCTGATGTGGACTTCAGGAGTTATTTTGAAGTTGAAAGAAAGCATTTGTTTTTTTGTTTCTTTCTCTCTGTTTCAAAAAGCCTTCTTCTTTGAGAATTATTTTTTGGAAGCCTCTGAATGAGTAAGATAATGGTCCCCTGGGAAGAAGAACAGAAAGAAAAATTACCAGGGTTGACATTTCAGTCTAATGCGAAATGACTTTGCAGGGCAGATACTTGCATGTGTCGCTTCTTGACTAAAAACTGCGAATGCTTTGAAGTCGGTGGTTTAATCTTGTCCTTCTGTGCATTTTCTCCAAGTGCCTAGCCATTAGTCTTGCACAAAGTAAACGACAAATATTTGTGGAATTTATCTGAAAAAAAAATCTGTGCTTTTTCTTTTTAAACCAAGGTCAAAGTCACATAGAATGGCTTGAAAAATAGTAACTACAGGCGGCTCAGTGTTGTAACTCGTGAATACAGATTTGCAAGGCAATTGTATTTTCAAAGTTAAAATTAGGCTGCGCGTTGTATTGGCCTTGTTGCTAAGGCAAAGGCCATATTAGCGGTTAGACGGGCACCACAAACTCAAAGGTTCTTTACATATCCTGCAAGAATTTCAGTGATCAATCTTAATAAATTGTGGCTCACCTGATTGTCTGTGCCTATGAACAACCCAAAGCAAATCAGTTACAAAAAGCCAAAGGATATCAGTTGGAGGTGATGAAAATGACACACTGGAGGCCATTTCCTTTGGGTTTAGAGACCCGGGGTGCTTCGTCAGCTTCAAACTCCTCATTGTTTATTTATTGTGCTTTTTTTTTTTTTTTTTTTTTTTTTTTTTTTTTTGCTGTTTTTCTTTAGGTGACAAAGGGGAAAAGGGTCTGCTCGGCATTCCTGGAGAAAAAGGCAAGGCAGGTAAGAATGGCATGCTCATTTTGGTTTGTTGTTGCTGTTGTTGATTTATGACACCACTCCAAATGTACCCAGCTCAAAACTACCCTGTTTTTTGAAGAAAACAGAACCCTTTTCCATGCATTCATCCTTGTTTCTATGGGATAGAGGATTTGGAGAATGAGAACTCTCCTGTCTTCTCACTGGTGACTTTCCAAACCCCAGGGAAGGAAATGAGGTCACACATTCTATCCCCATCATGCTCATGGTGAGAGGCAAGCCCAGCATAACAGGGAGTAGGGCTCAGTGTCTGTGTCCAAGGAAAAAGTTCACGCTGGAAGCTGCATCAGCAGTCATGCCTTGTGTCCCAAGAATCTGAACCAAACAATAGTTTGTGAGTTGCCTCTTATGCTTCTCCTTTAGGCTACCTAGATACAGAGCCTGCCCTGAGTGAGCTAGGACAGAACTCAGTTTGTAATGTTTGATATGAGGAAGTAAAGCAGGTTGCTTGGGGAAAATTCCAGTTGTGTCTATTTACAATGAGCTAGTGAAGACCTAGAGAATTGTTTTATATTTCTTGTGTTTATCTGCATACATGGATCAATTAAAGAACGAGCTATTTCTCCACTTGGCTAATAAGATTAGTTTAACTTCTCATACTGCCAAGAAATAAAGAAATAGGAAACTACACATAGTACCCGTTAAACAGAAATAAAAGAGAGAGTCATCTGAGTTGACCACCATTTTCTTGGACTCTGTTCCTCTTCGCTCAAACACAACGTAGTTAGAACACTGGGTGAATAAATGCAGCTACATAACACGTTAAAATAATAGTTACCCCGTAAACTAGACAGTTGAAACTGCATCTCTTCACAGTATTTAGATGTAGCCTTTGAAACTTGACAGCTTTACTTTACGTGGATAATCAGAGTTAACATGTGGTTGAATCATGAAAAGTTTCTTCTATCTTGGGAGAGCTGTGTGAGCTCGTGAATAATGCAGTAGCAGGCGAGAGGCCTGGCTGCAAATATCTTCTAAGGACACTGCAAAAAAATTCTTCTGAAGTTGAGCCGACCATTTCTGTACTCAACAAAAATGGCAAATGGCCCGTTGTGTGTGCACAGCGCACAGAGGCTGGTCTCATTCATTCCTTGTGAAACCCTCGTTTAAGGTTGGCTTTTTTCTTAACTCATTTCAAATATTTTTGAGATACTTTATGAATTCTTAAAGATACAGTAGAAACCCTGTTTTAAATGAAAAGTTAAACATTTGGTGGCTCATAAAGAGATACTACCGAACTAGAAAATTCTAGAGAACATTGAGAAGAGAAGAAAAGTTCTCTCCAGTGGGTCTTCGTGTGATTCAGTGTGAATTCCCAGCTCTTGTCATTCACAAGGCACCATCTGCGACTGTGGGAGATACCGGAAAGTGGTCGGACAACTAGATATTAGTGTCGCTCGTCTCAAGACATCTATGAAGTTCATCAAGAATGGTAAACACAGTTATCTCTTTGCTCTGTTTCCTATTTTTCAATCTGGTCTTTCAACACTGCATTCTTTAGCAGGAAATACCTGACTCAAGCAAGTATCACAATTCAAAAGCCTCTCAAAATATTGATTATCCTCTCAAATTCCAGGACTTTTCACTTCACTGCACAGATTCAATGTTGTGTGTGTGTTATATTGGTGGGGAAAGGATCTTTGTTAAAAGAGGGTGTCAATAGCATCAAACAAGAGTAAAGAGCATTCCTTAACTTTTTTGGTCAAAATAAACAAGTTTAATTTTTCTCACAGGACTATCTTCATAAAATGGGTTTGAGAAAATTGCATCAAACGTAGGAAAAAGTAGGGCTTCTATAGTCTTAAAACTCCAAAGCTAGGGGATTTCCAAGGTTTTTGTTGTTCTTGTTTTGTTTTGTTTTTTGTTTGTTTGCTTTTTTTTTTTTTTTTTTTTAGCTATGTAGAACAGCATTTAAATGGTGGCAGAACATCGTATCTTATCAGAGTGGAGATTAGGGTATAAGGTGCTGAACACATTAAATTTTGGAAAATGAGTCAAGACCTGGTCAAATCCAAGTTATATATATAAACAAGAATGAACTTATTCTGACCTTGTAACAAGTAGGCATCTTAAAATGAAGTCAGGCTGGTCCACCAAGGAAAAGGAGAAAAGAGCAGAATTGGGCAATTTGTGCCAAAAGAATAAAGAGACACCTTTGTAGTGTTATCAAAGAGCTCCACAATAGTCTGAAATGGAGTATAACGAAGGTTTATTTACTTGGGGATAAACTCACTGTAAGGGTAGCGGTCCACAGTCCTTTGAATGTGCTAGGAACTGGGACCAAATCCAGTCAAAAAAATAAAAAAGCCCACACATGTTTTCATCTGCACTTATAGTACATGAGACCATGCCCAAAGTGGTCCAATATCTTATAGGCTATTGGTTGAAGGAGTTTCCACATCACTTCCCGCTTTTATCTAAATAAGAGAGTTCTAAACCTAATATGAAACTATATACAATAAGAACAAATATACAGGGAAAAGAATAGGCAAAAAAATACATAAAAGTTAGAATTATAACCACAATGAACAACATCAAACAATAAATTATGCTAAATGTTTCAATAGTTATCTTAACCTAAGGAATTTAAGTCTTATATTGCAAGTGGCTTGACTATGTCATGAGAAGAAAGTAACTATGACTATCTAGTCTTTAACTACTTCAAAGGCCTGAGAAGGGAAATAATATTACCTAAGTAAACAGGAAGTGCATTCAAACAACTTCCAAAAGGCACAAGAAATTACAGAGACAACTGGCTACTTGAGCAATCCCCCAAAGTCTTATTTGCAATGTTGGGGCAATCAACTTCGGCTAAGGCCTATAGTATCTGACAGACCATTTTCAAAGGCAGGAAAATTTGAAAATCTGTCTTACCTTGTCTTGGCAAAGTTTGGCTTTTGCTTGTATCCTGTTTATCCAGTTTGGACACCATGGATTTTGTCAGTAGCTGAGGCAGGAACAGTTCTTTGCCCAAAGGCCAGTTTTGTCAAGAAGAAACAAGTTCCAAGTGGAATGAATATCTTCAGTGCCCAACATTCTCCCAGGAATAGATGGGTGCTGCCAGAAGCAATTGTGTCTCATGTCAACAGAATCCTAAGTTATTTAAATGCCATATTCTACAGTTCTTTGACATGTTTGAAGATTACCTGTCTATGCAGAATACAATCTCTATGCATCTAAAGAACATGACCAGTCTAAGTATGACAAACATTGGCACTATTGACCTGTAATTCTTAATACCTCTAGATCTTAAAGACTAAGGCTTCAAATGAAAAAAAATTAAACAATCTTTAAACGAATATGCAGAAAATGAGGACAATAGACTCAAAATGCAAATTATATATATATATATATCTTGATCAGAGATAAAAATTTATAGTACAATATGATTCATATATCCTAAAATTGCATCAATAGAAGACAAGGGTCAAAGAGAAACAGCATCTCAGAAAAGATGAACAACAGCAATAGCTACTTATTAGAGTCCTTGAAATAGCACATAACCACTGGAAATATAGCATTTAGTATTTTTTATTATTGTGTTGCAAGTGTTGTGAGGCAACCAAAGCTGGGAGAATGCCATGCATATGGATACTGGTAGCAGAGAAGGGTTTTCTGGACTCCTCTTCCAATAATACATTCAGTACATGTCCTATGTGTCTCTATAAATTTTTCAACTAAGCCATTTTTTTCCCTTGTCCATTCTTTTCCACATTAAAAAGCAGTAACGTCTTCAACTTGGAAAGGCCTTTGCTGAGACGGATTTATTGAAGAAACTGAGGCAAAGACTACTATGACTGATTTCAGCTGGCTGGACTTTCACTTAGTGTAATCTAGATGAATGTGTTGTACATTAACAGAAGCACATAAATGCCATCGTGTGTTCAAAGGCAACATGACAGAGGTCTAGGAAATACTAAAGCTTAACTACGCAACTTAATTGGTTTTAAGTTCTAGTTGTAAACCACACATAAGATTCTGTATCTTTGGGCTGGAGAGATGGCTCAGCGGTTATACTGTTCTTTCAGAGGATCTAATTTCAGTACCTAGCCCTCAGGTCAAACAGTTCACAACTGCCTGTAACTCTACTTCCAGAGAATCTGACACCGTCTCCTGATTTCCATGGGCACCTACACAAAGCATGGCCTGTACACGCACACACACACATACACACACACACACACACACACACACAAATTTAAAAATAAAATTCTATATCTTACATAACTCAGACTGTCAGAAGTATCTTGAACACATCAGAACCAACATTTCAGTGGCCACAGATTTCATGGTGAAGTTAAAGATCCCAAAATGAAGCCAAAAGCACAAAGATCATATTATGAGTTGAAGATGATTTTCAATACCTGATTGTATCTTGAAACTCAGTCAGTAGCTAAGTTTCACTTACAGCTGTGTGGATAATCCCAGTCATTGTGTGTGTCCATATCCTAGAAACTTGACCTAAAGTGGAAAAACTTTATCATTCCTAGATTGTACATTGAATTTACTTTTAATAAGCATTTGTCATTTCTTAGACCGTTCTAGGCACTGGACTGAAGAGTATCAGATATGGACACTGACCTCAAGACATCCACAGTTCAAGGGAAGAAATAGACAAGCAAGCAGAGTAGAAAGTTCTGAGTTGTATAAAAGAGATGAGATTGGAAGGGACAATGGGAACATAGAAGACTCCATGTCCAGCAGGGGGCATTGAAAAAACTTTATGTAGGAAAATTCATTTTCTCTGAGATCTAAATGATCATCAGGGTCTTCCCAGACATGAAAGGTGTGGATGTAGAAGAAAGGGGGACAAAATATACCTGAAACATAAACTAGGTTGAAAAAAAAATGTGAGATGCTCCTGGTATTAACTCATGTTAATTGAACTTTGTTACCAGAGATGCTATTGGACAGAGATGTATGGGAAGCTAAGGATGAAGGAAACAGGGGACAAAATGGTAGACTTTTGTTTTCATTTGATAAACAGAAAGGCACAGAAGAAATGAACTAAGTGACTACCTCATTATGACCTTGCAAAAACAGCTCTTGAAGCTGAGCAAATGCATTAAGATCTTCTTATCTTGATTATGATATTCTTCCTCTCCTCCTTTCAGTTATAGCAGGGATCCGAGAAACTGAGGAGAAATTTTACTACATCGTGCAGGAGGAGAAGAACTACAGGGAATCCCTGACCCACTGCAGGATCCGGGGAGGGATGCTAGCCATGCCTAAGGACGAGGCTGTTAATACACTTATTGCAGACTATGTCGCCAAGAGTGGCTTCTTCCGAGTGTTCATTGGCGTGAATGACCTTGAGAGGGAGGGACAGCACGTGTTCACTGACAACAGCCCACTGCAGAACTACAGCAACTGGAAGGAGGGGGAGCCCAGTGACCCCTATGGCCATGAGGACTGTGTGGAGATGCTGAGCTCGGGCAGGTGGAATGACACCGAGTGCCATCTTACCATGTATTTTGTCTGTGAGTTTGTCAAGAAGAAAAGATAACTTCCCTCCCATTACACAGTCGCTCTTTTCCTAGACTTCCCAGCAGTTCTATCCGTCTCTGCCTCCCTAACTACACTGCCTTGCTAAGATGACCGAAGAATCCCTTATCCACTAGCAGCTTCTTCTGTGTCAATTGTGACAATTCTGTACATAATGTTTGTTTGGGATATTGTTGGGGATCTTTATCTCTTTCTTCTATTTAGCCCTCTGATTTAATGAAGGAAGACTCTAGAACTCCAAAGGGGAAAGGGAGTGTTATTCCTAAAGAGCATGTGTTAGATAGTCCTTTTGTGAAATTGCCCCCTTGCTATTAATGGCTTCATCTTTTTTTATAAATGTATTCAAGGAGACATTTCTCACCTTCAGCAAAGAGAATAGGGGTGGGGGGAAGCCTTCAGAAAACTCTATAAAAGTGTTAAAGTGCGACAAGGCCCCGCCCCTTCCAACGAATATGTCACTCCTGGAGAGATTTCACGGAGGCCTTTCACGCTCTGTAAGTTAACGTTGCTGGGGACGCCCTTCCTGCTATTTTGACATCACAGGGCTATGCCAGGCACAGCATTTGGAATGTGTACAGACTCCTCAGTTACCGAGTTGGCAGCATGCTATCTCGAGCTGCAGATCAAACCCCGAAGCCGTTCTCGTCTGGCATTTGAAAATAAACAGTTGAACAAATCTCCAGCTTATCTCCTTCTAAACTGATGCTCCACTCACAGGTTGTGACACACGACGCAATTGTTTAAAATGCTGGCAAAGCCATTAGTGAGCTAAGAGAAGCAGATTGGCGGCATATGTTCTCCTCAAGCCATCTGCTCATGACGTCACCCGTGACTAACTGCATGAGAGATGGGATTTACTGACATTCGTTTGGTGAATTCACCACGAGTCACAAGCCCATGTCCTACCGAGTCCAGAGAGGCGACATAAATAGATGAACTTGAAGGGCCGAGGCCCTGTAGCCCCTAAGCACAACCTGCCCTTTGAAGGAACCAGCCCCTCATTAGCTACCGCCGTTGCTGCCACGCAGGACCCGGCACCGCTGCCAGCCAGTGTTCTGACATTTGAACAGAAGTCAGACAGCTGCAACTTTATAACTCTGTATTCTTAAGTGTTGACAATTAATCAATATCTAACCTAGATTTTTTTTTTAGACTTATAAATGTCTGCTAGCCAAATTGTGAACTTTCGATTTCCATCTCTGGGGAAAGTTCTAATTGTGCCAGGTGTCCTTAGGAAATAATGACATCAAAGGCAGGTCTCTTGTGGATGCCTTATTCAGTTCAGCTCAACAGGAGAAATTTGTTAAACCTTTGACACTTACCAGGTTATTAAACTAGTCAGAGTCCCTTTTGAGAATGTGACATAGGGTATTTGGAAAGCTGATCAGTTTGATACAATTACAAACTAGGGCACTATGCCAAATGCCAGGCAAGATCTCAGAGAATGGGAACACCCAGAAACACACAGAGGAAAAGAAAGAGGTGAAGAAATGACTGAGAGACGAGAGAGGCAGCCAAGAGCAAACACAGCCTAGGGCGGCTCCTGTTGGATCCATGTTCGCAATTGCTCTGTGTTCCTGAAGTCTGAATATTTTGAACATATGGCAAATGCTATCCTTTCTATTACAAATGTTATAATGCTAACAGTTCTCTCAATAACTCATTTTAGTTTGGAAAACACTTCTAAGAGTCGATGACAGCTTCAACGAATAGAACCCATCCTGAAACCTTGCCTGGAAGAACCTCCTAAGACATGACATATTTGATCATAATTATATGAACATACGTACCTTTTACTTTTTTTCAAGTTAAAGCATCAGTATATGACCTAGGCTGTCCTTGAACTCTCAGTCTTCCTGGCTCAGCCTCCTGGGTGCTGGGTAACGGGTGTGCATCACCATACCCAGCTGAAAACGCACCATTGGGATGTGTTTTCTGTTTTGTAAAAGCCTTTGCCCTTCTTTGTTTGATCCTTAAAATATGAGACTTACAAAAGGCAAGAAGTTTTACTGCCATTTTTTCCCAGTGAAAATACTGCAGCTCAAGAAATCAAAGACATTAACAAAGCCAGTGCTCTTGAGAGAAAAGAAAGCTACTATTCTGCCAGACCAAGCTGATAGATCCCTAGACGGCATGCTTGCAATAGGACAGGGTGTGTATTGGGCAGGGAGAAATTAAGTGAGCAGCGTCACTCAGAGAATAGTCTATAGAGGGACTGCATTTTTGCAGGTGTTGTTGCTGCTGGTAAGGTGGCAGTGTGGTTTCATTTAGGGTGACAGGTGTGTGACAACGTTGCTCAAAATTTCAAACTCGAGATCTGGCATCATGACCACCTAAATGTCCTTAGTGACTGTGACCCTTCCTAGCCGCACTATGGGGATAATTTAAATATTCTTTATCTCTGTGTCCTTATCATTTTCTCTCATAGAGAACCATAACAACGAAAGGGGAATTATGGTGAGGTATTTAGAAAAGTACTATCTAGACACACTATATGCATGCCACAAGACTTGGACATTACTGTTAGCTACATGCACTAAGAGATACATGAGCAAGACAAAGAATATTTTGAGAGATATATTATAAATAGAGAATCTATATTGCAATACATAGAATATGAGTTTCAAAAGATAGAAGTAAAATCACTAGGGTCTGAAGAGATAGCTCAGTGGCTAAGACCCCATGCAGCTAAGTTCCCAGCACCTATAATGTGTGGCTAACAATTTGCCTGTAACTCACACTCTAAGTAGTCTGACACCTTTATCTGGACTCCTTGGGCACCCACTCTCACCTGTTCACAGTCCCACACACTGATACACATACATGCACATAACTTTAAAAGTAAAAAAAAAATGTTTTTAAAGGTAAAACTATTCATTGTATTGCCTTCCTATTATTATGCCTCCATACTACAGCATTATCCTTTCATATATGAGGGAAAGCATCTATTATATAATTTTGAATGGTGATTGAAGAATAGCCATTTTCCATTGGTCCTGTATACATAGACCTTTATATAACATAAGGATGTGTTTCACTGTAACTCTAACAGATGACAGTCTGTATTTGAATGTTTGAGTAATTTAAAAAGCTCTTATAGAAAATTAAAATACGTTTCATCTAATTTGCACCCACTGCCCTTGTCCTATGTTTCGATGCTTATAATTGAGATGTCAAATCCTGAGATCAGCTGGGGAATCAATAGCAAGCCCTTAAGGGAAGGAGATGCCAGAGAAAGAACTGGCCTTGCCATGACAAACATCATCAAAATGATGTCCGGTATCACAACAGTCTCAAATCCTAAAAAGTGTGCAACATGACCAATTAATTTAAGTTGCGTTCATGAGTCACAAGAGCAGAGATGGAAAGCATGTGTAGTAATCAACATCTCAATCATTGTGACATCTCAATCATGGGTAGTTTATTCATGGATGGAGTGAGTATGTTACATGGGTTTAGCATCTTGGCTTGTTTTTTTTTGTTTTTTATTTTTTTTGTTTTTTATTTTTATTTATTTATTTGTTTGTTTATTATCATTATCTTTTTTTATTTTTTATTTTTTAAATTTATTTATTTATTAAGGATTTCTGCCTCGTCCCCACAACCGCTTCCCATTTCCCTCCCCCTCCCCCGATCAAGTCCCCCTCCCTCATCTGCTCGAAGAGCAATCAGGGTTCCCTGACCTGTGGTAAGCCCAAGGACTGCCCACCTCTATCCAGGTCTCTTAAGGTGAGCATTCAAACTGCCTAGGCTCCCACAAAGCCAGTACGTGCAGTAGGATCAAAAACCCACTGCAATTGTTCTTGAATTCTCTTGGCTTGTAAAGCCCACAGGAAGGGTCAAGGACAGGTGTCTGGGAGCAGTGGGATAATGAAGTCAAAATCAAAATCCTTGTGCAGGAAAGCTTGAAGCTTCCATGAAGAACGGCTGTGTTTAGGATAACAGCAGGATTCATTAAGTTCAGCCTCTATCATACATACCATATTCTAATATGTTTCGGGTGGTATCGTGTTGAGGTGAGAACTGGAAACGACATGGAGAAGACATGGAAGCTCAGATTTCCAGCCTCATGAACAAAACTGACTTCAGATCCTTTGTACATCAAGCCTATGATAATGAGGTTCAAGACTGAAGGAACTGCCAAGATTATATAAAGGCATGCTGCCTTTGCATCGTGTTGTTATAATATAATATCTCTTCTTCAGTACACTGAAATAAATTGGCTGAAGAATTTTTGTAGGAGGATTTACATCACCCTTTCTCAAAGAGTAACAATGACACATTTGTTTGAATATATTAATTCATCTATTTCGGCTCACTCATTTTCATGTGAACACGAAGTTCCCATGTCATTGTATACATCCACCCACACTATTTCCTTACAAGATAGACTATCCTTGTGTTAGTACATGAACGAATATTGACAGGGGCCAAGTATTCATTCTGCTGACGTGAAGGGTCTCTAGCCAGCATGGGCCTGGCAAACATACCTCTGGCAGGTCTTTCTCTTCTACCTGATTCCTTCTGCCTTGCTAAAGAACCGTTAGATTACATTTCTGAAGCTAGCCACCAAGGTCTGTTCCCTTATTTGACCACTTTCTCCTCCTGAGACTGACTATCAAGGTCCAACCATCAAAGTATTGAAGTTCAGAAATCAAAAGCCCCCATTGGTTCACCTAATTAGCATGCCTAATTAAAGTTAAACACCTTATCTGAACACAGAGTTTGCCATTTTACCTTTATAGGGGTTTATATATTTTCCTATGTGCCATGTCTATTTCCTCTCTATCCAGAGACAGTCCTTTGTCTCCCTGGGACAAATGCCTCTTACCCCTCTCCTTTGTCCCTTTCCTTTCCTCTCCCTTGGTCCCTTCCCTTTCTCTATCTTCCTCTATCTGCTGCCTTTATCCCTTATCCCTGCCCTCTGTCCCTCTGTGGCAAAAAAGTCTCCTCTGTGCTGAGAACTTTGGGGGTCCTAAGCTAATAGGATTCCTTTCATGACCTATACCATGCAGTTGGTAAAACTCTGGTTTGCTGCAGACTGTCCATTTTCTAGTGCAACATGAAGTGGGGAGAGAGGCGATACCATCATTTTACAATTGACTAAACTGTGATTGTTGCTAACCAAATATATTATTAGCAATTCGTTTTGGGAAATAAAGAAGATTCCTATACATCAGTACAATTTAAAATTATGTAACACTTGGGCATGTGTGTTGTTCTTGTGGATCTTAACTGAATTTATCAATAGTTAATTGCTGCTTTTTGTGTGTATCTGGTCAGTGTGCCTCCAGGAGCTGGGTTGAAGATGGGGACTGGTCACAGTCCACCCTTTTTTATGTATTGAGAAAATTCTAGTCATGGAAAGAATACTCAAAATTTCAACCACGGTGAGTAAAATATCCAAGATTATAGTGATATTTTATTTGTGTTTTAATAAATAAAGTTTGCCTCAAGATCAGAAGGGAAAAGCTAAGCCTCTAGAAGAGGTATGCTGACACACACCTCTGATTCCAGGATTTGGGAGGCAGAGGCAGATGGATCTCTGTGAGTTCAAGATCACCCTGTGCTATACAAGATCAATGCCGAAACAAACCCAGGTGGTGGTGCCCCAAACCTTTAATCTCAGTACTAGGGAGTCATACACTTTT